TTCAGCCTGGAGAAGAGGAGGCTCAGGGGAGACCTTATCACCCTCTGCAACTCCCTGACAGGAGGTTGGAGTCAGGTGGGGGTTGGTCTCTTCTCCCAGGTAACCAGCAGGAGGACAAGAGAGCACAGACTCAAGCTCTGCCAGGGGAGGTTTAGGTTGGATATTCGGAAGAGATTTTTTACAGAGAGAGTGATCAGGCATTGGAATGGGCTGCCCAGGGAGGTGGTGGATTCACCATCCCTCGAGGTTTCCAAGATGAGACTGGATGTGGCACTTAGTGCCATGGTCTAGTAACCACAGTAGGGTTGGACTCCATGATCTTTGAGGTCTCTTCCAACCTGGTTGATTCTATGATTCTAGCACGGCCACCTGCAGCCACCTGCGGGGCCATGTCCAGATGGCTTCTGAATATATTGAAGGATGGAGATTCCACAACCTCTCCAGGAACTTGTGCCAGGGTTCAGTCAACCTCACCATAAGGAAGTTTTCTCCCCAAAAGCTACTAACTAGAATTAGTTATTTGAGACTAATAACTCTGGACTCCTCCAGTGTCTCCTTGTAGGGTCTAAATAGTGCTGAGTTGCCTCGGTTCTTGAGCAAACATAAGCACAGGGCTCAGACATCTGTATAGCCTTCACCGGGTAGCCTTGGTCTCTTTGAAAAAGCCCTGGAGGTTTTCCACATCAGTCTTTCCTTTACCTTGAATTTAATGACACTTAAATTTATCTTGCAAAAGTGCAAAGCACAGTATATGAACAGCAAGCCATGCTGAGATAAGTGGAATGCTAATTGTTAATGGCCCTTTGCACACAGGACTTTGAAATGCAAGACTCTCAAAAAAGTGGTAATGCTTGGCAACTATCTACACCTGCATCTTGGAAGGAAATGTGCCCTCACAAATGGCAACTGGGAAATCAAACTGGCAGTGCTTATCCTTTCTCTGACAGTCTGTGCACTCATGAAGTCTTCCACATTTCCATGGCTAGGCACAAGAGCAGCACTTCAGCACACCAACTACCATGGAACAAATATCAGGACACCACGCACTGGACAAAGCTAGTTTATTTTACTATGGTGTTTACTACGTTATTGAAATTCAGAAGAATAACTGAACAGACTGAAGACTGAGCATGTGATACTTTGCATCATGCTTTGTATGCCACACTTGCTGCTGTAGATGTGCATTTCAAGCAACGTAATAATAAGTTTGCATCTTTCTGTAAAAAACACCCTACCAAAACCTCAATGCTGGCTGACAGATAACACAGAGACAACTTTTGAGGAATATAGGCCTTTCAGACTACTCTATTTCCAAAGCAACACATGATAGATATCATTAAAGATTTATCCTTGGCTGATGTGATTTTCCTCTCCACTTCTTCTAGCCTCATCTGCCTCAAGATGAATTTAGTGCCTCTGAGCAGTGCCAGGAAAAGGATTTCGCTTCTCAGCACTGTCAATAATTTATCCACCATGGGAGAGAACTGTGGATACAGACATCCTCCCTCCCAACAAACGCCTCCAGGGACTTTTCTCAGAGGTGAAAAAGTAATTCGGGGACAGGTCCTGCCCTTTTTGATTAAAATACTCAGAGATTTCAGTCTTCTCTGATCGAGGACTGTAGGACAGACATACCAAACAGAGAGACCATTAGCATGTGTGTGCACCTCTGCATGTTCCCTACTGGGAACATACACTTAAGTTATTCAGACACAAAATCAAAGTAAAGGCCAAGACCAGATACCAGCTTGTACATAAACAAAGGCAAGCACTGGCAAGCATTAGAGAAATGTAAGCTCCCAAACACTTGGTTGACATGCTTTAACCCTACTGGGACAGGTAATTCTAGGATGAAGTTGTAGTTCCTATTTTTGGATGAATTATTAGCTACCAGCAGAGATGAAATATGTGTCACAGTTGCCAGCCTGAATAACCACTCTATTGTCTAAGTACACATACTTGTATAGAGATTCTGAAGCAAACCAAAATTCATTATGAAGGCCATTGATTCCTGCTATTTATGTAATTTAAAGGAATTACCTTAAAAGTGCAGTTATCACAGTTATATTAATTTTGATGCAGTTACGTATGTTCTTACTAATCTTGAGCTATTGATTCTTAATGTCAAAGTGAAGTTCTGGTGTGGGGAAAAAAACCCCAACATCTTCAAGTTTGCAGTACAGGTATATCAAATAGCCAGAACTCACTGAACACTACAAAAAATGAGCCCATTGAGCAGATATTGATTAGCTCCTCCATCTGGTGCCCAACTCCAGCAGTTTGACTTCCTGGGAGTGAGTTCTCATTTACGAGCTAAACTTCACACATGCTGCCTTATCATTCTGGTGACAACACGTAACTAATGATCAAACCCCATTCCTTCCAGGAAAAGTGCTGTTCTCAGGAGAACTACAGATCTTTGACCAGCACTACAGTCTGCTCATTACAAAATCTGTCCAAAATACAATTCCATGTAGTTTCAAAAGTATACAGAATTTGTGTTTAGGTGGGAAAAAAACCCCACAACAAACACCAAGAGCAAACAAAATTATAAATATTCAGTATTTAAGAGCAATCCTTTTGTGCATGTAAAAATCATTGCTGTATTTGTTCATGTATGCTTTTCAGATGTGCAATTCAATAATGAAAAGAATGGAAACTTCAGAAACTGGTGATATCCCTCAATATCTTTTGGACAAGTTCACAAAGTAAAGAAAACACTGTATAAAAAATAACAGGTGCCAGAGTAAAAACGAAACCAGAAACTGGGTCAAAGAGACAGGAAGGGGAAGTGCATGCACACTGGCCTGACTGAAACAAAGCAAACTATGGCAGTCACTTGATGTTTTCCTTTGGTCTTAGTACTGTGCTAGTGTGAGTGTCTGATCTGAGAGAAAATGTGACAAAGGACTAATGCTTGGAGGTTTACTTGATCTTCAGTTGATGACTGCACAGAGTTTATAATGGCAACTGCTTTCACATCTAAAATTCAGACTGCACATGCTTGCAAGCCATGCATTAAATTTGGTCACCATTATTTGTTAATAGCAGCACAACATTAAAACAATGAGTAATGTGAGGTCATTATATGAAATAAAGTGGGTTCAAGAAGAATACATTCTGCTCTGATCAGTTTCACAGTGAACGATTTAGAGCAGTGCCTGTACCAAGTGACTTGGTTTCTTTCAAAGCTGAGTTTTGTCTCAAAATATGAACAGAAAAGAAGCTACTTAAAAGTATGTTGAGGTACCAGTGTAAGAGATACAGTGGAGTAATAGGCTGGTACTGAGGGGGTCTCGAGAATGTGCAGCAGACATCAAAATC